CTTGTTATGCACCCCAAAGAGATTATCTGGGAGCCTTACTGCTTGTCTCTTACTCGATATCACTAATTAATAAAGTGACAAAAAGTCGTTGATCCTCGTTCAACGACAGATTTTTGCTGAACATATGGATTACATTCCTTCACGATGTCAATCTGTACATTAATCATACACCTAGTGAATGATGTTAATCTTATACATCTACCTGGTAAGCCACCGACAGCAATTTGTTCGCGTTCGGATAGTCGCGAGATTGATGACAGAAAGTTGATTTATAAGAGCCAAAAATCAAAAATTTACAGCACTCCCCATCACACTTCTTCACAAGAAAGGCTTCAGCTCATTGAGGTGGTGTTTCTTTTGTTAAATTTGAAGCAAACCTTGAGATCTGAAGCATTTACTGCGATTATTGCATATTGCCTACATGATAAAGTAGTGAAATATGAGAACAAAAATTTGAGAGGACAACATCTATGGTACAGTACAGTACGCAGTAAGCCTTCAGTTAAAATGTCAAATAAAGTGGAATCTTTTTGTGTTCGGAAAAATGTAAAAATAATAATCTGAGCATATGCAAAACTTTTTGCTATTCTGTATAACATTTATCGGGCCTGCGCCATCTGAAGAGTATATTTTTGGAAACCTTCAATAGAGCGTTCTGAAACAAGTTGTTCCCCGAACTCTGCCACGGAACTGGTTAGCCTGACATCGATAAACTTTCCTCTTTTTCTGATACAAATAGTCTTGGAATGGGAGAAAACGCGAGCAGTATACATATGTACATAGAAGAGTAAACTGAGTCGGTTAGGATCCAGGTGATAACTTTTTCTCTCCGTTCAATGTCAATCTTTCTTAGAATGAAATTTCAGATTAACCGAATAATTGCTGAAAAAGGTATGCATGTTCGTGTCTTCAAATTACTTCTGTGCCACACAGGTATGGTAAGTGGTCTTTATTTCCAATCTCACGGCCCAACGTTTCGACGCCTTCGTCTTCCTCAGAGGCCTGAAAATCGTTCGAAGTGTCACCCATGACTCAACGCCACCAAAGATCGCCTCCAAACGAGCTAGTTTTCGGCTTTCCCTCAGTCTTGCTAGTGTGGAAATTGTGCAGAGCAAGAATGACGTACCGGAAGACCACCGATATGCGAGAAGTCCGCACCGGAAGTGAGTGGTCGCGGCGGACGAATGAGTCACTTTATAGATGCACATCGAATGTGATCTATAGTTGGCATAGTGATATGAAAGGAAGGAAGTCAGCAGTGATTGACAGACACTCGTTTTTGTTATTCATTGCTGGATTCTTCGCAGATATCCAGAACGCTTCCAATGCTTTCCTAGCCGAGGTCTCCCTTTCGTAAGATAGAATCTTACATTTGATGTTGAAATCGTCCCCTTTGTGCGCCTCGCATCTGTGCTTTCCTAGCGGTGAAACTAAGCTTTGGCGCCTTTTATCTGCTAAGTGTTCCTTCAAGCGAATGCTAAGTGATCTTCCAGTTTCTCCGATATATGATGCTTTGCAGCTAAGACATTCAATTTGGTACACCACTCCTACTTTCGCGCAATCTCCTAATCTACCATATGGGCATACCACGCATTGCTCTGATGTACAACATTGGTCGTAGAGCCTGTTTCGAACTAACTGCATTTTGATGCTGTTGTTCGGAATGTTCACTAAAACGACATCATCCTGCAGTTGTGCTCGTTGAATGCATTTTTGGAATGCCGCGCTAACACTGTCAGAAATGAACGGAAGACAAAGTGGGAGCTTAGTACCGCTTTGAACGCTGTTAACATTTCCAGAACGTCGAGAGCGTGGTAAGGAATGATAACCATTGCTGCAAGCAATATCAAGAGCTAACTTTCGTGATTCGCGTCGTTCATGTTCTCCGGAACACATCTGCATCGCTGTTTTAAACATATTTGCGATTACAGCTCTTTTCGTAGATGCAGGATGTGCAGATTTTACATTGATGTGCATGTTTTAAAAAATTACTACAATTCATACTAATGTCAAATAACATTGCAATCTTCTCAAATCTTTCTTCAAACGATATATAGTTGCAGACGAAGAAGAATAGTGTGCACACTATAAAGTGAATTAGATTTGTATCCAAAAGAAAATGTGTAGTTGCACTGTTATACACCCTCTGCTATTAACAATTTATTGTTAATAATACAGCAGAATTAAAAGCTTCATATGCTTTAGCTTGTAAGAACTTGCAGTTTATTCTTTGCTGAAAATAAAGTACATTGAGTTTGCTGTTTTCAAACTTACGTAATAACTAGCTCTTCCCCTCAGTCAGCTAGTTTTATATACAGGGTGTCCCAAAAGTAAGTACACACTTTTCAATCGTCAATATCTCTATTTCGAATGGGTCTTTTTCTGCCACTCAAGTACCATTCTGTAGAGGAGGCTTCAACTTAGATTTACAGTTTCGACCGAATCACCGGTCGCTCTTCATTACTGTAGGATTATGGTAAGAACTTCCAGCATATGGAACCATGGTGAAATATGCCATTTGACAAAGATTTTTCAAAAAATCTGAAAAATTGTGTACTAGGGTTTTTGCGCACTCTGACTCCACTACACAACTTTTTACGAGTGTTTTCACTTTTTTAACGGTGTAATCACATTTCTGACAAATACTGGGAATTTGGTTATTATGGTTTACCTGGATAACTTTGGAAAGAAGCATCATAGTAAAGTAGAAATCTCATATTCGAAATCATCGGCTTTCATTACCATAGCATAAGAGTTTGGATCTTGTTTGTTTTTGTTCCGAGGCAAAATATGGCCTCCAATGGGCTAAAATCCCTGTCGAAGTTCGTACCGTAATCCTACAGTAATAAAGAATGATCGGTGATTCGCTCGATACTTTGAATCTAAGTTGAAGCCTCCTCTGCAGAATGGTACTTGATGGAAGGAAAAGACACGATGGGAAGAGAGATATTAACGATTGAAAAGTGTGTACTTACTTTTGGGACACCCTGTATATATGAGAGCTCACCTTTTCTGATTAGCTTTTTTGTCTTTTTTGAAGAAAAGACCTGTTGCTTGACTAAGGACATCTTTGCCTAGATTTTTGAGCTCTTTTTTACTTGGTGGCGCTGAAGATGAATGGATATTAAACTTATCAATAAACAAAATGTAAGACACTACCTAATTCGAGTTTTTTACCCTCCACCAGCATCTTGAGTCCCACTTTTGCTGCTTTCTTTGCGGTCTTTTTTGCGGCTTCTTTTAGTGCACCAAAGAATCCTCTGGATTTTTTCTTGGTGTGAACCTGAATAATGCTATCAAAACCTACAAATGTGAACAAGAATGTGAACAAGACGTTGTGTTCTCAAATTAACAGGCTCTGAGAATTTTCTACGTTGAGGTTGTAGCAAGATTATGGGCGATCATGCATAAGTCATTTTATTTAACTTTGCTTCTCTTAATCAAAATATCTGCAGTGAAAAGCCTACTTACAGCTGTCACAAGGTTCGAAAAATAGTCATTGCAAAGAAGTTAATACAGCAAAATCAGGTCTTCTGTAAAAAAAAATTGGGTGACATCACGGGAAACCCCATCTTCTACCGCGTCATATTTCTTTCTTAGAACTGCCAATTTCTCGAATTCACCCCATGGACAAATTTTTAGAAATGAAAAATTATCTGCGTGAGTCTCGCGCAAAAACTTGTGGAAGTTCGTGAATCCCTTCTGTTCCAATAAACTTGTATCGATATGTTTTAGAGAAACGAAAGTATTTAATGTTGCTCAAGCAAAATCATTGTAAACCCCGTTAAAGCTAATAGAGAGAAATATCTGTCTTGAAAATAAGCTGGTGAAAATGACGAGAGATTCAAAAAGTCTGGTTTTGGTTTTGTAACTTACTCTTTCAATAAGAGAGAATATGCCTAATTCGATGATTTATGAGTTAATACAGGATGTCCCAAAAATGTGCACACTGTTTGATCGTCAATAACTCGCTGGCTTCGATGTCTCTCGCCGATCTTAAGGCACCATTCGTAGAGCGTGGTTCAACTTAGATTTACAGTATGAAGCGAAACTCCGACCACCTTTCATTACTGTAGGATTACTGTGAGAACTTTCAGCACGCAGCGCCATTGCAAAATAGGCCGTTCAATGAAAAAAATCCAAAAAATTCTGGAAAATTGTTGGGTTTTGGGTTTTGTAAGCATGCTGATTTCATTATGCCTTTTTACGAAAATTCTGAGCCTTTTCAGAGCTGTAACACATTTTCAAGGAACATTGAAGGAGCAGTTGCTACTGTTTGACTGAAATAACTTATGAGGTAGCATGACCGGGTGCACAAATTGCATATATGTAATCAGCGATAAATAGTCTATTGAAGTTTCTGGCTTGTCTGGTTTCCAGGGGCGAAATGCGACTTTTATAGCTTAAAACCATCTTCAAAGTTCCCACCGTAATCCTACAGTAATGAAGGGTGGTCGGAGTTTTGCTCCAAACTGCGAGTCTAAGTTGAACCTAGCTTTGCAGAATGATACCTGAAGATTGGCGAAAAACATAGAAACAATCGAGTTATTAGCGACCAAACAGTGTGCTTTTTTTGGGCAATCCTGTATAATTTCATTCTCACTGACTTCTGAACACTGTTCTAAATGTATCTATAAAAGGAGTTCAAAGCATATAGCCTTCTTATATACATTAGGCAAAAAATGAATTGTGTGCTATTTAACGCTCTTCAGTCAAAGTTTTTTGCTTTTAGAAGAGAACTGTGGACAGCCATGTAGCATTACGCAATCGCTCCAATAAGCAAGTTGGGTGGCTTTCATAAATACACTCTGAACTGAATGTAGCAATACAAGTGCATGCAGATTGAGATAGTAATGTATTTACCTACTTTTGCGCCTTTGAAAAGCTAGTAATATCCTTTCAAACTATAGTTGTGGACATGTAAGATTGTGTTTCGTAATCCTACTGTTTACAAATGATTGTCATTGGGTGGTTATTCCGGTCAATCTCCCAGTTGGAACTCAGATTAAATCAACCTTGCTGTACAAATAACTTACCACCTCCTCCTCTTCGTCGCTATCATCAACATCACTTGCCTCCTAAATTCATAGCAATTCGTAGTCAATCAATATCACGTTGCGCTCAAAATTTTAAACAGATTGAGGTAATAATGTATTTGTCTACTTCCGTAGCATACATAGTGCAAACAGATTGAGTAGTACTATATTTACATCTACTTTTATGCCTTTAAAGTCTTTCCATACTATAGTTGTGAACAGGCAAGATTGTGTTGTCGGAATCTTACCGTTAAAAACAAAAGAATGTCATCGAGGGATCACTTCATCGATCTCTTTGTTGGAACTAACAATAAGATTACGTTTGAACCAGCATTGACGTAAAACCTAAGACCTCACCTCTTCTTCTTCTTCGTCACTAGTATCTACACTTGCCTCCTGAATTCACAGCAATTTGTAGTCAATCAATATCATGCGCTTAAAAAAACAATTTTCAAGGGCTCTACTTACCACTGAGGCGCCTGATTCCTCCGCAGACTCTTCAGAAATAGGTGCCTTGGTTACAACCTGCAAAAAACAGTTAAGGGACCCCTAAGAAGTGCACTATCGAGATGTTTGGCCAGCTATTAGGATTCAAAGTATTTATTTCTACCATTTTGTGTTTTCGATCTACATGCGTTTCGAAAGCGGAAAAAGTACGATTCAAAAGCTGGCTTCCCTCAGTTAGCTCCTTCTTGATATGTGCAAATGAATTCTTTATAACTTTTATTTTGCCTCTTGGGTGTAAAAAATGGCAGAGGCAAGTTTGCGTGCTAAGTTTTAATCTATAAGCCCTCTTCTTACCTTCTTTTGAATCTTCGGAGCACTCGTTCTCCTGACCGCTGAATGATGAAACATTTAGTAAACCAGCATAGAATCAAAAGAATCATAGAAACTTACCTGCTCCATCAGCGAGGTTAATTGCTACCAGCAGCAACTGAAATTGTTCAACGTCAGAGAACTCGTCCAATAGGGAATCCACATACCGTCCCAAGAACAAGGAGTTTCAACATTTCTTCGCAGAAGAATTATGAGAGATTGATTGGCTTTAGTTGACATTTATAAAACAGGGGAATAGTCCACAAAGGCTGTATCAATATAGACAATTACAATATCGTAAACGCAGTCATTGATGACAACTAAGCAAACTAAATACTTTAGGGTATCCCAAAAGCATGTGTATAGTACAATGTTTGTCCTTTGACTTCTCTCTTCGTAAAGTTTTTTGTCGATTAAGTGCCATTTGTAAAGCTGGCTTGAACTAAGTTCACAGCAAAGGGCGAATCATTGATCTCTCGTCATTATGTACTTCAAGATCATGGTGTAGGAATCAGCATACAGCTCTATTTTGGATTAGCGCCGTTCAAAAAAATCTCCAAGAAAACTTACGGGCACTACGTAATATGAATAAGAAATTGCATTTTTGGTTGTTTGACCACGTAGCACACATTCCTGGAGGCCGCGCAGGGAAGAGGGGCTTGAAAACTGAAGTGGCCAAAATTTCATACAATTCATCCTTTTTCAATTTTGTGAAAATCAAATCCTTCCAGATATTTTTTGGCTTCTTTTTTGTGGATTCTAAGCTGGGAGCTTTCGAAAATCACCAATGGAAAGACTAAAAGGTTACCAGAAAAATTTGGAGTGCGTGACTACTCTCCATACTCTTCATTCAAAAATTTCTGTCATCTGGCCCTCCAAAAATCGCCGGCGTTTACTGATTATATAATCGCATAATGTGCTTAGACTTTGAGGGGTTTTCGTGAGCTTCTGAGTTCAAAAACTTCAAAGGATTATATTGACCAGAACAGGTAACGTATTGATGTCGGTTAGATCTATTTGCACTGCCAGAATCACCTGCTTAGTACAGGGGATTTTCCTGTTTGATGTTTCGGACCTTATTTATTGTCAAAATCTAATTCGACAAGTACTTTGCAGAAATCAAAATTCAAAGACTCTTTCGAGTCTCCAGAAATTAGTAATTTAAAGTGGCCATCGCCTTATGTAACTTCGAGTAGAAGTGGAAGAATAGAAGTGGTAGGTCAAATTTCCCTATCTCTTGTCGACAGTTCCCACTAGAGAGAGACGCTATCCTACGCGAGGCAGGTGAATGTACGAACTTAGCTAAAACCGGCTCTTGGTGTTTCTGATCAGTGCGTGTACACCAAGAAATGGGTGGTTCTCCATAAGGGAGTTTCGCATCTGCAAGAGCTAAGCAACTCCGCAGATGCGAAAGACGTCGGAGACGTAGGCCATTCCCCCTTGCCAATTTTTGAAAACTCGAAAGAGTTGATTATGTGTTCTATATGTCCCATAACGCTTAAAAAGCAGTGAACGGTTGTGAGAAGTAAAAAAACCAGGATTCTACTGGATTTCCAAAGCAAATTCATCCGATGGATGCTTACAGGCAGTGGCTTGACAAAATGGACCCTTGTAAGATTTTGGTACTGTTAGATAGTGGACCCCACCATGTACACTATAGCCCAGTCCATCATCACCCAATCCATAGCCCAAGTCCTAAAAATTGTGCTTCAAATCCACCAGCCCCGCCTTCTTGCATTGTTAGAGCGTCATTGGTGGAAATTCAAAGAACGATTTCAGAACTTAGGTTTGAATCGGAATGTGGGAGTGGGGCCATAGTATGGGCCTATTATCAAACAGTATCATAATCTGAAAGAGTCCATTTTAGCCACTGCCTTCAATTGGGTGGATCGATTGTTGAGTGATTAATCTATCTAGGTTTTTATGAAATCTCTGAAACCTAAGAGGATTGATACAATAAGTATATAAGATCCTCCTTTTTTGGCTGTGTTGTATAATTTTCTGATTACGCTTTTACAAGATGAAGTATGCTCGAACGAATGAGAATCATCCATTCTTAGAAATCAGCTGGGGTATCGATTGACGGATCATCATCAATATCTTTTCCACAAAGTCATGTCATTTGATTTTATGACATTGCAAATTGATCATATGCCACATCAAGGGTTTTGCACGAACTGGCTGAAAATTCGGGATGCATCGCGATTTCAGAGGCATTGGTAAAGACTATACGCTTTCTCTGGGAAGAAGAATGTTGCCGCTAGCCTCCCTCTCTCCCTTGCTTCTGGAAAATTCCTGGAAACGTCACTATTCATTTCCTTTTTGGTACCATAAATCTATGAATCGACAAAAAATCATTGATGCTCGTTCAATTACAACCTTTCGCGAGGTTTCTGAGAAGGTTACATTCTGAGGACAACTCTATGGTACAGTACAGTACGCAGAAAGCATTTTCAGTTGAGATGTCAAGTAAAGTGGAATCTTTTGCGTTCGGAAAGATGTAAAAATAACAATCTAAACATAAGCGAAGCTGCCTGCTATTTTGTACAATATTTATCGAGCCTGCGCCAATAATGCTTGAAATTAGTATATTTTTGGAAACTTTCAGTAGAGCGCTTTAAGTTGTTCCTTGAACTCCGCCACAGAACTGGCTAGCCTGACAACTACAAACTTTCCTCATGTTTTGATACAAGTCTTGAATGGACGAGTATCGAATATTGTACATAGAAAAGTAAACTGAGTCGTTTAAGATCTAGGTGTTAACTTTTTCTCTCCACTTAATGTCACCCCTTCTTAGTACGGAATTTGAAAAGAGAATGTGTGGTTGCACTGTTATATACTCTCAGCTTGAACAATTTATTGTTCAATAATACAGCAGAATTCAAAGCTTCATATGCTTCAGCTTGTAAAAAGTAACAGTTTGTATGTCCTTACTGAAAACAAAGTTCATTGAGATTGCAGTTTTCATACTTTCATAATATTTCATCTACCTCTTCCTCAGCCATCAGGTTAGATACATACAGGGTGTCCGTAAAGTATGTATGCACTGTTTGATCGTTAATGACTCTCTTATTATGAGGTCTTTCGAGAAGCGGTAGGCGCCATTTTGTAGAGCTGGCTTCAACTTAGATTTACAGTATAGAGCGAATCAGCGATCACTCACTGTTACTGTAGGATTACGGTAGAAACTTCAAAGAGGGTTTTGAGCCATGAAAGGCCATATTTTGCCTAAGGAATGAAATAAAACAGCCTGAAAACTTTTACACTAGGCTAGTTAGAGTTGCTGATTCTAACTGTGAAGTTCCCAACTTATTATGATGCTTCATTGAAGAGTTATGCCAGGTAAGGCCATTTTTTCAATGTTCCTAAATAGTGCGTTTACATTGTTTAGAAAGCTTCGCATTGTACATAGTTGAGTATTGAACTCAGCGTCCATAAAAACCCTATTACACAAGTTTTCACATTTTTTTTGAAAAATTTTGAAACGACAGCTTTTTCCACATTGACACCATATGTTTCAAGTTTCTACCGTAATCCTACAGTAACAGTGAGTGATCGCTGATTCGCTCTATACTGAAAATCTAAGCTGAAGCCAGCTCTACAGTATGGTGCTTGAAGCTCGGCAAAAGACCCCCTGGGAACGGAGATATTAACGATCAAACCGTGCATACATACTTTTCGGACACCCTGTATAATAGCTCACCTTTATTTAATTAGTTCTTTTTCCTTCCGAAAAGACCTGTTGCTTGACTAGCTGCATCTTTAGGTAGATTTTTAAGCTCTTTTCCACTTGGTATTGCTGAAGTTGAATGAATATTGAACTACAGATGAACATAAAGCCCTGTGAAGTCTTACCAAGTTCTAATTTGTTCGCCTCGTTGACAAGTTTAGTTCCGAGCTTTACAGTCTTGTCCAACGCTGATTTTCCTAGCCTTTTTACTTTACCCATAAATCCATCTTTGCTGGATTTTCCATTCTGTTTTGGTGCAACCGTGACAACCTAAATTATATTACCGAAAAAGTTGATACAAAAATGCCAGGTCTTTCTCAAAAAGGGGATTGAATGGACGTAATGAAAACAAAGCCGGATACTAGCTCGTACTTCTCCTAGAACAATTAGTTGTCGGAAGAAATCAAATCGTACTTTTCAAGCTCAGTGAAGTTGCCAAAAGGTTTCGAAAATTGGATTTAGATTATGAAACCTTTTTTATGTGATAATAGAATGCCGACTGAATGGTTCAAAGCGTAGATATGATATTCTTTTTTTTTTCAAAATTTGTTTTTCACTGAGACTACACATGACGTATATCAGCAAAATAAAAGTGTGTAGAATAAACAGGTATTACTTCAAATTTTCTCCACAATTATGATTATCTATGCAAGTTATGGATCCACCTTACATATATGCCGCAATATACGAGAAATCTTCCGTAGTGGATCTCAACGTAACATATCACGGAATGCAATACAGAACCTATAGACTATTAGAATGACTTTTCAAGCCTGGTGCATTCAATATCCAGTGCGTTCTAAGAAAAGAAGCACAGGCTGCATTCAAACAGGCTCGGAGAGTATTGTATTTAGGTAATTTCTGCGCGTTTGTGCAGCCTTTAACGCTTAGAGAAAAAACCTGTAATTGTTGGCTTATAAAAGCGCATTATGAACAGCCATTGTGACTGTAGTTGAGTGGTTACCTCCATCAGTCTTCTAATTGGAATACAGATTACGTTCAAACCGTCGCTGACGTAGGAGATAAGACCTTACCTTCTTTTCGTATGTTGTGACTGTAGTTGAGTGGTTACCTCCATCAGTCTTCTAATTGGAATACAAGATTACGTTCAAACCGTCGCTGACGTAGGACATAAGACCTTACCTTCTTTTCGTCTGGTGTGACTGTAGTTGAGTGGTTACCTCCATAAGTCTTCTAATTGGAATACAGATTCCGTTCAAATTGTCGCTGACATAGGACATAAGACCTTACCTTCTTCTTTTCGTCCTCTTCACTGTCGCTATGACTCGTTCCCTGAATTCACGGCAATTTGTAGTGAATCACTAACACATTGCGCTCAAAATTTGAAACAAATTGAGATGGTAAGTATTTATCTACTTTTGTAGCATTCACAGTGCAAACAGATTGAGATACTAAAGTATTTAACCCTTGATTCAACTGGATTGGCGGCTGAGCTGCGGGACT